CCAGCCACAGGCTCCTGTTTCTGGAATTACAAACCAAACAAACAAACAAATGTCCTTGTTGCTGCTACAGGACCTGTGCACTTATTTGTGCCTAGAATGTTCTTCCCTCAGATCTCCACTAGGCTCACCCCTTTTCTCTCTCCTTTTCTTCATTCAATTCTCAGGGCCACTAACTCGGAGTGGCCTTCTCGGACTCCTCCTCTCTGTCCAGTGACCTGCTCTATGGACTTCATGGCACTTCCGCTGCCCGAAGTGATCTTATTTGATTACTTACGTGAAGTCATCTCTCCCCGGGAGTGTGGAAGTTCTTGGTTCCCGAGTGTCCCCGACGCCTAGCACCATGCTTTCACATAGCAGGCATTCATTAGATACTCCTTCTAAGAGCTTGAAATCTTGGCCAAACATCCCTGAGTTAAGGTGTTCCTCCTCCCCCTCCCCCCTTTTCAGCTAAGTTGTTTTGAAACAAACTCCAGGTTCTAGAGTGACTTTATCTTTTGTGGGAGGAAGGGGAGGCAGCTAACCCCCATCAGATTCCCAATAGGAAACAGATGGACACTCAACAGGATAACTGAGAAATTAATAAAGGGATTATCAGGGTTTAGGGAAACTGACAAGAGAAGTACTGCCAAGAGCCCAGAGGAAATAGTTCAGTGGACGAGGCCCTGCCCGTCAGGAGCCTTGGTAAGGGCCGTAGCCACCCTTTTGTCACCCACAAGGGAGAGAACTTAGGGGATAAATACTCTGACCTTGCTCTGCTCCCTCCCATCTTCTGCCTGGGCCTCCATTGGCTTAATTCAGTGGGGTTGCCGAGGGGAAGGGGGACTAGTCCACATGGATCAGCCTCCAGGGGTACAAAATGGCGGTTGGAAAAGGGTGCCAAGTATATGTGGAGGGGCAAGAACAGAAAATCATATAATGTCCATGCCATTTACTTTGTCCCTTAATCAAACACTATTTTATACCTTTACTTAATTATTTTATATACTTCTGCGATGCCACTGAGAGATAGGTATCGATTGGAGAACAGGGAACATGCTTACAACTCCTTCTAAGAACCTAGAGTGATGTGATGGGGATTATTCCTCAGTATGTGTGAACTTTGAGCGTAATTGAACGGTAGGTGAAAACGTGCTAAGTGAGTATGGTCTGAAACCCGAATATTTTGGGTAAATCTTAGGAATGACAACAGTTTAATCCTCCGGAGCAGCGTTTCCATTGTACCCCACTGCTTGGTGCGCAAGAATGCTATGTGGTCATTTTTGTGTGTTGGTTTGCCTGTTTTAGTGCATCATTTATGGCTACAATCATACGACTCTGTTTGTTTCCCAGGTCAGAAAATTCTCTGTAGGGAAGGGGACAGTTGATGAGTCTTCCAGAGCACTTCTTTATCTCAGCTTATTCTACTCTGGACTGATAATATTACTAAAGGGATAGTGATGCCATGTTGTCCTGCCAAGCAATATATTTTAGAAGCAAAAAAAAAAAAAGTTGTGTTGAAAAGGTAAAGTGAAGTTCTAACATAATCTATACCTTACCATTTGTTGAGAGCTCATGATATAGACCACGAGTCCCAAAATAACACCAAAAAATAGTAGCAGCTACCTCTTTTGGGCACCTACTTCACATCAGGCCCTGGGCTACTTGACATGACGTCCAACAGTCTCATGTAGTTGGTATAATTAATGCAGTTTTACATTTGAGATGGACTTAAAGTCATCAGCAAGAAAGGGAGATTCAGGAAGCCGAAGGCCGGGTACTTGCCTCATGCATAGATGCCCTCAGACTAAGACTGCTGGGATTGCCATTTAAAGCAATCGTGGAGTGAGGGTGGGACTGCAGAGCTGGTCAAAGGAGGACAGGACCGAGGGTGGTCATGAATCATTCTGCTTGGCCAGGCCATGGGAAGTAAGCCACTACAGGGAAGCATGAGAGAGAGACATGGCAGAGGCAAGCACAAGGCAGCTGACACCAGCAGGGAATGCCAGTAATGCAGCCCCCAGTTGGGAAGTCACTGGGGGATGCTCACAACCGTGATTTCAAGTCCCTTCTCCATCCAACTTGGAGACCACCTGTCACTGTGCTTCTGGTCCTAAGGCTTCTACCATGTGACTGAGGTTCCTCATTTGGTATCCAAAAGGCTACCCTCTACTGTTCTGAGGAATTCTTGGAACCCTGAAACCAGGAACAGAATGTAGAATTTAGGTTCCAAATGAGGAACCTCAACTCATTCAATGTTGTGCAGTTTGATTACCTTTCACAACTAACAGAATGTATTAGGAACTTGGAGAAGGAAAAAGAGGAAGGGAAAAGGACTCAGGCACCCAGATAAGTCACCTGGATCCTAAGATCTTTTCTTTTTAAGTGAAAGTAAACAAATTCAGAAAATATCAATGAAATGGAATTATTTGATTTTACTACTAAATTAAGTTTAGTTGGAGAAAGATTTCCTAGTAGAGAGAGGCCTGTGATATTTGGTATGTTGGAGTTTAGACAGAATTTGCTAGTACTCCAAAAGTATTTCTGGCTTCAGAAAAAAAATTATTTGATTTTGCATAAGATTTTCTGTATAGTGACGGTCAGTGTGAGAGAAAATGCTTTGTATTTCTGCTGGTCAGTAATTACCCAAAAGTCCACTTTCCCAACATAGGAACTCCCAAGATCACTGCAGAATATGGCTCAAAGAAGGATCCCCAGGGAAAAAAATGCTTCACAGGATTTCCCCAGAGCTGCTCGTTAATGTGGATCTACCTACATGTGTGACGAACTGCTCTGATTGAAGAGCCTCCACAAAACGGGCCCAGTGAATTATTGAGTTCTTCCTGAAGTCAGATCTTAGTTTTCCTAATTACTTTTAAGTTATAAGCAGAATTTTACCTACATAGACAATCTCAACTAGCAGGAAAAAAAAAAAGGAGGGTTTTTGTTCATTGATGGAGCTGCCTACTGTGTACCAGGCATTGTGCCAAGTACTTTGTGAACCTTCCCTCCCTCAATCCTCACGGCAAGTAGTGTCCTAGCACTGTGTCCAGATGGAGGAACTGAAGCTCAGAGAAGTTAAGTTTCTTGTCCTCTTGATAGCCTAAGTAATATGGTAATTCTAGACCTGAAGGTGGAAGAGAAAATTGTAGAAAAGGCTAACAAAGCTAAGCTTTCAAGTATAAGAACAATGAAATTTAAGTAAGCACTAACACTAGGTGAGGCTATAGAAAGATAAAGCTCAGAAAACTGAAAATGGATAAAAGTAGGAAATGGAATCAGAGAGAGATCATTTATTCAACTATCTATTCAGTGCCAGGGAGAAACTGAGTGTGTGTGTGTTGGTTTCTTTACCAGGGAATAACACAAAGGCACTACATCTATCTCATCATGAGATTTCTGCAGAAGCAGGAGGAAACCCTCGAGTTTGAAAGTGTCTGTGATAAGGCAGAGATTTGGGGCTTTTGGTTTCTTGTCTGGCTGCATTCCTGTCTCTTTGTAACTATCAGGTTATCCCAGACATCTTGTTTGAAAGCGTGAGACACCATAGAGAGGACCAGGGAAGGGAACGCAGGATTTTTTTTTTTTTTTTTTTAATTGGGACACCGGAGGAGAGAATAAATGGCAGAAGGGAACATCTTTATTTTTTCAAGGAATCTGACCCAGGTGCCTATTATACTGTCTGCATTTGTTTAGACTGATGCATGAGCTGTTTCTAGAACTATTTTTGTGTCACTATTAACTCAGTGATCTCTCTGAGGCTGTCGGCATGGTGGTTAGTCTGCACAACTGCTGTTGGCCAAGGACCCTGGTGAGCAGGCGTTTCCCAGCTTGAGGAAGTCCCTGTGGCCAGTGTGAGACTGAGGTCACTAGCACGCGGAGGGTTGGAGTGGGGACTCAGAGATTGGCTAGCTGGAATTTAGCCTTTTTCCCAGAACTGAAACTGGTCCCAATCCATTTGTTGGCTCAGCACTCGAGGAAGGCTATTTCAGGAAGCAGAGCTAGAAGGAACTAAGAACACAGTCATGTGTGCATGAGTGACTCACTTAGGGTTTCTACTGCAGCATGTGACCTTCAGGCCACCGAATGTGTGGAGTGGGCTGAAAGTTAGTGATTCGTTGTGGGAGGGGTTAAGTCCTTTATCTGAGCAACTCCCTTCCATCTCCTGGAATGGCTTGAGTGACAGGTAGCATCCAGGATGAACTTTGGAGCCAGCCTGCCCGAGTCAGCTCTCTCAGTGCCACCAGCTCTGTGACCCTGAGAAAGTTATTTCATAGCATCCTTCCTCAGTGTTTTCATCTGTGAAATGGACATCATCATAATAAGACTTCACAGGATTGTGAATATTAGGTAAGGTAGCACATGCACAGTGCTTTAGCACAGTGCCTGCCACATAGCAATTATAAGGGTTTAGCAAGAAAGAGAAACACAACCATCCATTGCTAACCTCAAACACAAATGGTTTCTCATGATGATGTTAATGTTACATTTATTTTGTATTGTACAGTTTGTGAAATGCTTTCATATATATTATGTCCATTGATCAGAGAGGATAGATCAGAGGATAGTAAAAATGTTTCACATTTATAAGTAATAGGCTGATGAGAGTATAATCTAGGAAAGATAAGGAGAAAGGAATGCATTCCACTGCCCGGTTCCACCCCAGGAGGAGTTTAGGAAAGATGGCCCCACCGATGCTAATTGCAAGCTCTCTGGGCCTCCAAGGTAGGAGTGGTTCCCCAAGGACCCTATCTAGAGGAGAACCTGGACCGCTGACCTGGGTGGGGGTCAAATGAGATGAACTACTGACAAACAGGCTCCAAGAAGCTCTACCCTTCCCACAGGGCCTGTTTGCCAAGAGGCGGCCACTAGGCACAGAGAGCATCTGGGAGGTCAAACCCTTTCCTTCCTGGAGCCAGGCCATGGAAGCTTGTTATGTGTGAGAAAAGGCACAGAGAAAACCATGAAGAAACCAGATTTTTCTCTTCGAGAGAGAAATTACACATGACCAAATGGCACCGTGCTCTTCGTCAGCAGAATAGCTTGACTCGTCCCCTCAGCGCTAAAACCAGGACAATCCCAGGCAAACCTGCAGGGGTTGGTCACCCTCGGCACACAGTAGGCCTGGATCAAAGTGGCCCCAGGGGGATTAAGGACAAAGCCATTACGCAAATTTCAAAGCCGGATACCTTGGTGAAACTTCTTTGTAGATAGCTCCTCAGGGGATACTTCCGTGTAGGTAGCTATGGTAATATTGTCCCTTTGGGAACGATAGTGTGTGTTGAGTGTTTCTGTGGGGCGAATAACCTCCCCCCCTCCCCGCCCCAGGTCAGGGTTTCTCAACTCTTGGCACAGTTGATATTTGGGATTGTTGTGGGATGTTGTCCCTGTGTGTTGTAGGATGTTTAGCAGCATCCCTGGCCTCTACCCAGCACCTGCCACCAAAAGTGTCTTCAGGCTTTGCCAAATAACTTCTGGGGTGAGGACAGAATGGCTCCAGCTGAGAGCCATTGCTCCAAGGTCCATAACAGCTCCCGTGTACTAGGAAAACAACCACCTGATCGTCTTTGTAACCTGTCTCTTCATTTTTTGTTCTTTCCCTGAAGTTTTGCCCCTCCTAATATTTTGATAGCTGCCTCACTCTACTCGCCTCCTGTCGTCCACGATCATGGGTCATTCATAAGTTTATGAAACTCTAAAACATACCTACAGAACACAAGTTTGTCTAGCAGTCTGGAAGAAGTAATCTCGCTGAGACTTTTAGAATCTGTGGAAATTCTTTCTTGCCCTAACTTCATTTGTCTCAGTAGGGGGTCCTCCGAGGTTCCCTGGAATCAAGCAAATGAAAGTCTTCAAGGCTTCTTAGAAAAACCATAATTCAATGCGTAATTCAATTCAACCATAATTCAAGCTCTCTTACTGGAGAGCTTGTTTCCTCTCATGATACTAGCTTTGCTCAGGCTGCTTCTGAAATAATGAAATTGTAATCTGCATAAAAACTCTAGAGGAGCTCCTTACTTTCTTGGAGAAGATTTTGAATTTTAAAAAGTCTAATGACCCCGAACACCTGCAGAGAGGCTGTGGAACCGAAGACCGTTTGTACCACCTAGATTCTTCCACCTGCTCAGTCAGCCCCTGTCCTTCTAACTACTTAGATGAAAAAATATTCTGAGCGTTGCTCTACAGTGGCTATATTACCTTTGTGGGAAAGGTCATCTGATCCACCTTTTGGCCTTTACAAGTGAATATTTAAATCAAAGATGTCTAATACTATTTATAAAGTTTTGCAGAAATGGAAATTTCAATTACCTTTATTAGTAAACTGTTCCAGTTTTTACTTACCCTCAAAGGCAAAGTTTCTTCCTTACCCATTGAAAACAATTCCTCTTTATAATATTTATTTTATGAGAACAAAACAATCTAATTACAAAAATAACACGGGCCACTAGAGGAGAAGAACACAAAGGTGAAAATAAGAATCATTGGTAAACCCACAGCCCAGAGATAATGCAGATCATGTTTCTGGAATTAAGCATCTTTAAAAAATGCGTATAATGTGTGCTTATCGGATTAGCTTTTCTCCTATTCAGTTCTCACTAGGGATAGAAAACGCTTCCACAATTTTGTGGTGAATTTTAATATATTCTACTTTTAAATGCATAAATGAGTTTCATAGGAGAATTAAACTGACAAAGAATGCATTATGATGAAGACAGAACTTTTTCATTAGTAAGTTTTATTCAAGTAAATTAAACGTGAATATCAACTGCTCGTAGTTTCTTATCTGTCCTTCAGGAATTTATTCTATGCAAGTATGTACCATTTGTAGCTTCTACTCCCCTCTTTTTCCACAAAAAGTAGATTCTTGGGTGAATTGTTTTGAACTGTTTTTCTTCACTTCACTACATTTTGGAGACCTCTCAATCTCAGTGCATTGAGGGCTTCCACATTGATTAAAAAAAAAAAAATGGCCACATTGGGGGCGCCTGGGTGGCTCGGTTGGGCGTCTGCCTTCGGCTCAGGTCATGATCCCAGGGTCCTGGGATTGAGCCCCCACATCGGGCTCCTTGCTCAGCGGGGATCTCCTTCTCCCTCTGCCTGCTGCTCCCCCCGCTTGTGCTCTCTCTCTCGATCACTCTCTCTCTCTCTCGAATAAATTAAAATATCTTAAAAAAAAAGGTATAAAAAAATAGCCACATTGTATTCCACTGTATGGACTTAACCTAATTTATTTAACTAGTCTTCTGTTGATGAATATTTGGTTGTTTTCCAGTCTTTTGCTATTAAAAATGCTGAAATAAATTACCAGGTACACGTGTCATTTCATAAGCAAAAAATACATCTGTAGGTTAAATTCTCTGAAGTAGAATTGCTAGATTAATGAGTATATGCAATAGTGATTATAATAGATATAATGGATGTATAATAGATATAGTAATTATAATAGATATAGAATATAGATAAGTGTCCTCTTTGGGGGTTGTACCAAGGTATACTCCTATTGGAAATGTGTGAGAATATCAGTTTCCCCACAGCCTTCCAATATATTATGTTAAAATGTTACTATGAAACTTTTGGATTTTTGCCAGTCTGATAGATGAGAAATACTTCAGTGTACCCTCAGTTTGCATTTTTTTCATAAAGTAAAGATTATTTGTACTCTGCCAACTATCTGATCATCTCCTCTGCCCATTTTTCTATTGCTTTATTGATCATTTTTTTCATTGATTTGTATGAGCATTTTATATATTACCAAAATGAGCTCTTTGTGCTGTGAGTTGTGGATATTTTCCTTTATCTTTTGATTTTGTTTGTGGTTTAAAAAATTTTTGTGTATAGTTGAATTTATCAGTCTTTCATGAAGGCTTTTGGTTTATGAGTCATAGTAGATCTTTCTCATTTAAAGGTTATGAAAGATTTTCCCCATATTTCCTTGTAGAATTTTTGTGGTTTAGCTTTTCACATTTATATATTTGAGCCATTTGAAATTTATCCTGCTAAGAGATAGGAGGTAGAGATCCAACTTTGTTTTCTCTAAATGAAAATCTAGATGTCCCAGCAATATTTATTGAATAGTCCCAGTCACTATTGGCAGGAGATTCCTCTTTCACTGTCTCCTAAATTCTCGTATGTTCTGGGATATATATCTGGATTTTCTGTTCCATTCTGTTGCTCTGACTACGTATGTGCCAGTATTTGAATTTTTATACAGGTCTCTGTTTTATCATTCTGTTTATCCCTCTATTAATTGGGAATTCTGTTTTTAAAGAAATAGTTTTAGCATTTACTCTTATTTGTGACTAGCCTGCCTTTAAGGCCATTACCCACTCTCTGGCTTTTGCTACTCTCGTCATGTATTTTAATTCTCTTTATAGTGTTTAAAATTTATTAAATATTTGTTTATATTAAAACCCTTAAGACATGATTGTTTTATATGAATGATGTTTTTTAAAATTTACCATTTTTCTTGCTCGTCATTCTAGCCCGTATTCTCCGACTTTCCATCTTGGACCACTTTCCTTCTGTTAAAGGGCATCCTTTAGTGGCAGTCTCCTTGCGACGGACTCTATTCATTTGGCTGAATATGTCATTATTCATTTTTGAAAGATATTTTCAATGAAAATAGCATTCTTAATTTGTAGTTTTGGTTTGTTTTCCAGCACACTAAAGGTTAACATTCTACTGTTTTCTGGCTCCCATTGTTGGTGCTAACAAGGCAGTTGTCAGTCTCAACTATTAACTCTTTGAAGGTAACTGCATTTTGTATAATAAGCATAGTTTACATTCTGTCTAATAACTTTCTTCTGAGTTTAGTTTTGTTTCCTGTATTTCTGCGGGTTCTCACTCATGTTGTCTTGATGCACCTGTTTCTCTTTGATTGGATGCTGGATCTTATATTTGAAACTGTTGTTGTAGAAATAATTTGAGGTCCAGCATTTAGTTATGTTCCTTTTAGATCACACTCTTTATTAAGGCTTTATATTATGTTTCAATTTCTGATAGTGCTATTTAGCCTTCTGTCAGAATTTTCCTGGTTATGAGCCTTAGGACCAACTTTTATCAACTCAGTTCCAAACCTCCCCTCCTTAAAAGAAACACTCTGTTAGGTGCACCCAGGTGGCTCAGTTGGTTAAGCATCCTACTCTTGCTCCATCTGACCTACTCGGTTCAGGTCATGATCTCAGGGCTGTGAGATTGAGACCCGTGTTGGGCTCCTCGCTGGGTGTCGATCCTGCTTAAGAGTCTCTCTCCGCCCCTCCCCCTGCTTGCGTGTGCATGCCCACTCTCTCTCTCTCTCTCTCTCAAAAAAAAAAAAAAAAAAAAAAGCCGCAACAGTCCATTATTATTTTCCTAAAGGGGAACATGCTAAGTGTATATACATCGATTCAAAATGGCATTTTCCAATGTTGCATATTCTCACCTAAGAATATGGTAGAGACAACACTTAAAACAATGTTGGCATTCTTGGGTATTTTATTCATGGACTTTAGAACGATTCTTTGAGATCATAACAGAAGTCAGTATAAAGGTTATGTTTTAATATATAAATAATCATTTTAGATTGCCTCATTTATAAAGCATGATAACTTCATAAATGATACTGTGATATTAGACTTGTGGCCTCTTGATTCTCTCGCATTAGCTTTTATTTTTTGTACCTCTCTTGTCCCGTACTGAGTTATGTGGGGCAACCAAAAACTTTGACCTTTGTCTTAATTCTGTTAGGCTAGCCTGCATTTCTTTGGTTTTGTTGGACACTGGATTGCAGTCCTTTCTTCAGATGTTTTTGCTGTGCTGTTCACAGTTGTATGTGTTACCCAACAAGCATGCTTACAGGCTTGGAGGCAGAGACCATGGAACACAGTGCTTAGGACAGCAGGATCTGGTGTCTCACGGAACTGGCCTCAAGTCGTGGCTGGGCCTCTTTATGAATTTGGGCTACATACTTAAGCTTTCAAAGACATAGTTTTCTCCTCTAGGAAATAGACACAATTTCATCAGAGAAATGGGGCGCCTGGGTGGCTCAGTCGGTTGGGCGGCTGCCTTCGGCTCAGGTCATGATCCCAGAGTCCTGGGATTGAGCCCCGCATCGGGCTCCATGCTCCGCGGGAGGCCTGCTTCTCCCTCTCCCACTCTCTGTGGCCCTACTCTCTCTCTCTGTCAAATAAATGGATAAAATCTTTAAAAAAGAAAAGAAATTGAATCTTCATCAAAGTATTGTGATCCTTAAATGAGAGAACTTACAGAACGGACAGTAACATATTCGGTGCTCGCTAAAGGTCAGCTCTGTTGCAACATTGTACAGATTGATTCTCCCAGAAGCAGCAGAGCTTTTTGTCTCTTTTCATGGTGCCACCAGTGAATAATAGAATAACTAAGCTGTATGGCCCTTACCAGGTAGGCACCATTCTTAGCGCTTTACCTCTGGGGTTTTTTTAAATTTGTTTGTTTGTTTGTTTTGGTTTTGGTTGTTGTTTGCCCTTTACCTCTGTTAACTCAGTTAATCCTTACAAGTCAGAAGGTGGATACTATGATTATCTCCATTGTGCAAGTGAAGAAACTGAGTTACAAGAGAGGTTAAATGATTTACATACACTAGTAATTACGGCTAGGATTTGAACCAGGGCAGCCAAAGACTCTTAATGACGTTGGCCTCAGAACAGGCTTCATAGTGCAATTTCTGCCACGACGCATGACGTTGGCCTCAGAACAGGCTTCATAGTGCAATTTCTGCCACGACGCAGAGCAAGAGCACCTAGTGGGTACCATTCCGAGGGTGAGCCCACAGTGAACCCGAAGGTCTAAGTGAATGGGTAGCAGCCTCTCCAGGTTCCTGTTTGCCCTTTCTTCCCCTTCCCTTCTCTCTCCTTCAGTGCTGTCCTTTTCATTCTACGTCTGTGTCATTTATCATCTATTTTTCCTTCCTCTTAACCCTGTGCCGTGGGCTTGCTCTGCAGACGGTGTGAGCTGGAGAGGGGGTTTAGGGGACCTAGCGCCTACTAAATCTCAGGCATTACATCGGGTGCCCTCATCTCCATGTTCTCACCCTCATTTTGCAGTTGAGAAAACTAAGGCTCAGAGAGTGTAAGTGGTAAGTTACCCACATTCACATCATTGGATTGTACCAGAATTCCTGTTTGAGCCCAGGTCTGTTTCTAGAACTTGTTCTCTTCACCAGGGCTGATAAATAGTTGTATGCACTGGTACAGCCATGCTGGTTGTTAAAATACTGAAATCTCTCTGTACCTCCTGGTGGACAGATGCTCTTCCAAGCCTCCCGCGTGAACTCCTACCCCCTCTCCCCGCAGCCTCGCCTCCCTGGACCTGCCCATAAGCCAGCAAGTAAGAGGTTAATGCCCACTCGAGCAGGGGCATCAGAGCCATGCTGCACCACCAAGCTGGTTGGTAGATGTGTGTGCCAGTGCCCTTGAGGTAGTCCTGCTCTGAACCACACTGCCGTGTAGTATCGGGTATCATGCTGAGTACTACTTAGCATCACTGGGGCAGCTCAGGATGAATGAGAAAATAACTTCACAGCTCATTAATGAAACTGCTATTTGGTATCCAATCAGAAATGCTGTGGAGGCTTAGCTGAATTCATTGCCTCCTTTGACAAAGTACAGAATGAGGAATGTTACGTCTGTGGACAGACAGATTTTGTGTTCTCACCAAGACTGAGGTTGCTAGAGGAAGTGTTTCCAGCCCCGTCTCCACTCCCAATACCCAACCTACACAAGTCACTCATGCCAGGGCCAGCCTTCCTTCTAGGCATTCAGCCCCTGGGCCCCTTGCTTAGAAGCTCTTCTCTCCCTTCTTCCCCAGCCTCTTTTGCCAGCTGAGAGGATCCTCAGGCCTCAGAGGCCCACAAGCCTGGTGTTACTCTTAGAATCATTTCCATTGCACTTGGGCAAAAAAGATTTTTTGGTTGAACTTTTGAACATCATTCCTAACCTTCTTTCTTTGGAAAAGGCGTTCTGTGTCTCAAAAAGCAACTTATAAATGAACTTTTCTAAAAAATAAGATAGGGATTTTTCTAGTATTCTAGAAGGAAACTAAGTATGGTAGATTTTACTCTTCCCCAAATGCTGTTGATTCCTTCTTGTTGTGTTGTGGTTGGTGATAAATCCACAGATATGTTACCTGTGCTGTTTATTTCTCCTGCTTTGAAGCCACACTTTTCCCAATCTTAAGAGATTCCCTGTATACTTGTTTGGAGAGTCTAAGTAGCAATAACATGTAGATCCCAAAATATCAGTGGCTTACTCAATAGAAGAACATTTCTTGTAGCCCTGGTGGTATGTGGGTTGGCAGGGTGGCTTACTTCCATGAACTCTTTGGAGATCCAGACCGAGAGTGGCTTTGCCTTTTCCAACACATGATGTCTAGAGTTGCTTGGGCCTTGTTATTCCTGCCTGCTAGAGGAGGAAGGAGCCTAGAAGAGAGTGTGTGGTCGATTTTAGGACCAGGCATCATGGTACACACAAATCATTTCCTCTCTATCCATTGGCTCGAGTCAAGTCAAATGGTCACACCCATCTGCAGTGTGAGAACCGTGGTCTGCTGTGGTCCATAGAAGGCAACAACCTCTATGCCTTGTACTTTTCACTTCCAAAGACATCAGGTAGTTCCAGTTGTAAATGTGCCCTCCAGAAGGATGTGCTTAGGGGACATATCCCTGCGATGCCATCTCTCTTTTGTCAAATTTCAAGAAGTAGCCTTGGGATGGAGCTAGAGGTATAATGCTGAGTGAAGTAAGTCAGTGAGAGAAAGACAAATACCATATGGTGTCCCTCATTTGTGGAGTTTAAGAAACAAAACAGATGGACAAAGGAAAAAAGAGAGAAAGAGACAAACCAAGAAACAGACTGTAAACTCTAGAGAACAAACTGATGGTCACCCGAGGGGAGCTGGGTGGGGGGATGGGTGAAACAGGGGATGGGGGTTAAGGAGGGCCCTTGTCATGATGAGCACAGGGTAACGTATGGAATTGTTGAATCATTGTATTGTACACCTGAAACTAATACAATACTGTATGTTAACTCTACTGGAATTAAAATAAAAATACAAGTTTTAAAAAAAGAAAAAAGAAGGAGACTTGCTAACAGAGCCATGATGGTGTTTGTTACCTCTCTGGATTAGGCAAGTTCAAAGAGTGGACCAGGGGGAAGGTTAGCATGGTGCTGAGTCCACCCAGGTTCTGCCTGCTGGATACCACCTTCTCTGGGTACCATCATGCGTGCCCTGGGAGGAGAGGCCTCTCTCTGGGCCCAGCTGAACACTGCTTGGCCATGTGACCTTGGGCAGGTCACCTGCCCAAATCTCAGTTTTCTTATCTGGATCAACTAGTAGATAGCTGGGGTATTTCACTGGTTTAAGATGGCATGATTCTAAGAATTTGGCCTCTGGAGATCCTACGGGATAATTACAGCAAGCCACAAAGTTTAGAGAGCATTTTACAGCTGGTATAGTCATTTAATCTTTAGAGAAAAAAAAAAAAAGGAAAACTCTGCAGATCATCAGAGTGTTCATTGTTTAAACGCTGTTTACGAAGCAAAAGGATTTAGAGTCAGCCTCATTGGGTGGTGAACAGCTCAGAGGTCAGCAACCACATAAAAATGAACTTTCGATTTTTAGGAAGGGCTAAAGAGGGGGGGCTCCATGGGGCTCTGTGCTCAGCAGGGAGTCTGCTTGAGAATTCTCTCTCCCTCTCCCTCTGCCCCTCCCTGCTGCTTGCGTGCTCTCTCTCTCTCCCTCTCTCTTTCTCTCTCTCTCGCTAAAATAATAAATAAATAAATCTTTTTTTTTTTAAGAAACAGGGAAGGGCTAAAGAATATAACACATGGACCCGTTCACTCTGGATAATTTAAAACTGCCTGCTTATGCTGCCTTATCGTTGAACTTCACCTTCTTTGGAATATGGCATTTGGATCTTCACGTGCACCAAATACGATTCTTATTCCTTGCAATGAATTCTTCATCAATCTTGCCTTGTCTAAGAATAATATTGCTTCTGAGCAGTCCTATATATTGAGCCAATACTATTCCATATGGAGAAACTATATCTGTGAAACCGGTTTTAGTTTCTAGGGAGTAGTCATAAGTAGAAAGGAGTTATTTTGTTGGCAAGTTATATATCTGTGTATATGTTATCCAGTATATTGTAAGGAGCACTGTATTGTGCACGTAAAAACTTTATAGGCTTTGGCCTGGAAAGGGCCATGCCTGGCTGTTGAAAAAAATAAGAGCTCATTTGCTCAAAGCAATGGTCTAAGCATTGTGTTAGCATTCAGAATATTACCATTAGCTGATCTTCTGAATGTTATGCCATGTGGGATTTCATTGGGACAGGATGTAAGCTTCTGGGACTACACTTGGTAGGATTTGGGGCAAAGGAATGAAGAAAAAAGGGCCTTGGTTATAATAAAAGCTCTTGTACTATTACTTACCAAGATTTTTTTAAAAACTCTGAATCCCCAGTGTATCACATTGAATACATTGCCTCTTACACAATAGGCTAAATGAATTGCTGGAGAACTGGGTCAACAAACCTGCCCAATGAGGAGAATTGCTGGAACACTGTTTAAAATGAGAGATGTCCAGACCCTTCCTTTGGTGGTGCTGACACAGAAGGTCCAAAGCAAGGCCCAGGAATCTGGTTTGGACAAGCTCTCCAGGTGATGGGCAAGCTTGAGAAACTAGTGCAGTGGTCCCCAACCTTTCAGAAGAGGGCTCTATGAGGGGTACCATGGGGATAAGAAGTTCTCCCCATATAAGACCCCGGGGCAGAAGATCTGGCTGAACATCTAACACAGTAATGGGTTGTAACAGGCCCTCCATCGATACGTGTTATCAATTGAAAATAAAGTTACTTTTGGGAAATGAGTATGTTCTCTCTCAATCTGAGGTGTACAGGGAGAGGCAAACCATGCTCAGAAGACTGCTGGGTAATGTGGAATTAGAGCTGGAGGAGAGGGATCTCAAATTTTATGGCACCCACCTCCCTGACCTGGGGCAGCCTCAGTCTGTTTCACAGTAGGCTCATGTTACCTTTCGAACTGGGAAGCTTCTGAAGTCCGGTGACTTTGGAAGTTCCTCTCTTGGGGCACCTGGGTGGCTCACTCGGTTAAGCATCTGCCTTCAGCTCAGGTTATGATCCCAGGGTCCTGGGATCGAGCCCTGCATCGGGCTCCCTGCCCAGCGAGGAGCCTGCTTCTCCCTCTCCCACTCCCCCTGCTTGTGCTCTCTCACACTGTCTAATAAATTAATAAATAAACTCTTTAAAAAACAAACAAAAAAGAAGTTCCTCTCTTGATCTGTGCTCCACTGGAGCAACTTTTATCTGTCCAGCGTTTTCTGGGCTTCCAACGGGGAACCACCCCTCCCTCTGATAGTCACAATTTTTCTTTAATTATATGAATCTTACAATCATGGAGCCAAGCAGACCAAGTGGTCTCCTTCTAGTTGACTGTGCATATCTTTCAACCTAGTGGGTTTTGAAGATTGTCTCTCAGGGGGCTTGTTCCCTTCATTGTAATCTGACGGTAGATTGTAAGGCATAAAATTGATTTAATAATAGCTTTTAAAGTGAGAAAATAGGTACACTGGCTAGTTGAGAGATGCTAAAATGTAAAATTTGGTGTATCGTAGAATGGGAGAAAGGGGTTTCAAGCTATTGAGTGGACCATGAATTGTAGACCACTAATAAATGTTATTGACCCAATGGATGAATGGCAGAGATTTCTGGTCTCCTAGTGGGAGGATCTCTCATTGTAAGACAATGGAATAATGCCAGAAAGACCAAGCTTTAAGTCTCAGCCTACCTCTGAGGAGACTTTTTTAAACAAGAGAATCTCTCTGAGCCTTTCCTGGTTAATTAAATCCTCAGACTGGTAAAAACAAAAAACAAACAAACAAAAACCGCTCTGTTTCCTTCACTGAAGTGGGCTTCACAGTTTCCACCTCACCTGGTTGTTGGGAGGATTAAAACCAGACACGTGGTCTGCTTTTTTTTTTTTTTAAGATTTTTATTTTTTTAACTAATCGCTACACCCAACATGGGGTTCAAACTGGGGTTCAAACCTACAACTCCGAGATCAAGGGTCTCGCTCTATTGACTGAGCCAGCCAGGCGCCCCAGACTTAATGCAGCGTCCAGCACATAGCCAGTGTTAAAAATATGGCAAGTGATGAAAGGGAATGGCATCAATTTTTGATTTGTTATGGTGGTCAGCAAAGAGGACATAGATCATTACAAGGCACAAAATATATTCAAGCTTGAGATGGGCGAGGTGGGGGAGGGGTTGCCTGGACCACCCCGAGGCTACACTGGGAGCCGGGAGACCCAGGGCACCCAGGGCATGTGTCATTCCATCTGAGGAATTGCTCATATCTTGAGCTCTGATTAGTTCTAAAAATTCAACCCAGCAAGTACACTTTGAGCTCTGTTGGTCAAACGAGGGTGGGAAGAGAGCTCAGGGCCACGTGAAATCTCACGCCTCTGGGACATTTGTGCCCTGGGAAAACGGAGACAGCCGTTTTCCACAGAATTTCCATGCCCTTTCATTTTAAAGTCTGACCTGAGTGAGCGCTTCATGCATTTTAGGGGTTTTCTGCACTTTTCGTGGAGGGGATTCAGATTCTGCAGGTGATGTAGGTGAAACCTTCCACTGTCAGTGACTCTGGCCATGTTAGGAAATTCCTGGCAACTCTGAAAATTCTCGGTGGTTGGGTTGTGTTTTGACAACATCGTTTCAGCTGACTGGTCTGGTTTTTAACTGTTGTGCCTCTATGAGAGCCGGGGTAGAAAATGAGAACAGGGTACTGCCAAAGTTGAGTGCCTGGCTATGGGTGAGTGATTCACAGACCTACTTGCTAGTCCATCTAACATCTATCATAAATGTGTATGTGCTGCCGAAGCGAGGACCATCTATCATAAATGTGACCAGAAAGAAAGTAAACATTAAAAACTGCTTGAAGTAGGGGCGCCTGGGTGGCTCAGTCGGTTAAGTGTCTGCCTTCGGCTCAGGTCATGGTCCCAGGGTCCTGGGATCGAGCCCCGCGTCGGGCTCCCTGCTCCACGGGAAGCCTGCTTCTCCCTCTCCCGCTCCCCCTGCTTGTGTTCCCTCTCTCGCTGTCTCTCTCTCTGTCAAAGTAAATAAATAAAATCTTAAAAAAAAACAAAACAACTGCTTGAAATACAGTTGGCCCTTGAACAAACGGGTTTGAACTGCATGGGTCCACTTATATGTTAATTTTTTTTAATTTTTCCCCATAATAGTACAGTACTGTAAATTTCTGTAGCTTACTTGATTATAGGAATGTAATATACATAACATGTGTTAATTGACTCTATGTTATTGGTGAGTTTCAGTTCAACAGTAGGCTGTTAATGGTTAAGTTTCGGGGGATCAAAAGTTATACGTGGATTGTTGGCCTTGTAGGGGGTCAGCATCTCTAACTCTCTAACTCCCACATTGTTCGAGGGTCGTCTGTATATAGATTGAAGAAACACTGCGTTATCTATTTCATTTGTGGTTTGGTGTGCTTGAGAATTGGAGCTAGGGCATATTTTGTGCTGCTAGCAGGAATGAGGAATTGAGAAATCAGGACCAAGTGTTCTTTCTACCCAGTAATAAAGGGCCTGACTTAGCAAAACAAGAGAAATCCTGCTTTTGTGCCACCAAGAATTTTCCTGATTTGGGTGGGACCTGAAGGATGGCAGAGAGGAGATTTCATGAAACCAAAAAAGAACTTTGCTGAATTAAGATTTTCTCTGCTCTTGTATTGGTCGCTTGCATGAGCAGAGTTAGAACCTATATTTTATATTTAAACAACTCCGTCTTCCTGGGCACTCTTGACACATTAAAAAAAATTTTTTTTAGATAAAATTTTCACTGTTCACTTCAGATTTTCTCACTTGACACTCTCCTACGCTTTGGGGCTTCAGTTTAACCTTTTCAACAGGTTAAAAGTTACATAAGAATAATAAAGTGAGGCAACAACTCAAAACTATAGAAAGAACATTGTCACAGGGCGGTATATGATGAACTGCCAAATAGACCTTTCCGGGCAGTAAGGTAT